AGCCTTATAACATATGATATTTTTGGTAAATGAACTAAGTCCTATTGCAATGCTTCTCAGTTGATAATCACAAATTATGCTGGTCAAAACCAAAGGTTTTCTCTTTAAATTGATAATTTAACCAAAAAGACTTAATTTGTGTTAACTTATTGATTTAGATAAAATACTCATATTGAAATGCTTTACCCTTAAATGTCTATAAATTGTGATACCATTATAATTTTTGAGGATCTAAGATTAAAAAGACTAGTCAGGATATATAGCTTGATCGAAGTTAGACAAGTTGATCAAATCAAGATCAATTTCCACTTTCAAACATTGTGATGTGAGAGCTGTAGAAAGCATTTATCATAACTGATATTTCGATTAAAAACATACTTTCGTGTTTAGTTACTGATCAAGTTACCCAAATTTTTCTGCCAATATAGAAATTTTACATATTATGATTATTATATTGATAAACATTTTTTATTATCATGGAATGCATAAAGTTTCCCTTTCAGAAATTTTAAACATTGTTTATACAGAGAATTTATCTGATCAGTTAAATTTTAATCATGTGTGAAGCATTTTTATCCAATAAGTCAAATTTAAAGTTAGTTGATAAACCAATTGATCAGATTGATAAGTTCATTCATAGTGGGCTGAATAAGAATAAACATTTGATTGATTTTTCTACTTTTGAAAATTATCATATTTATATTTTCTTTATTTGTTTAAAATATAAACGTATATTTTTTTTATTAATTTTATTGGATAAGCAAATTTTCTAAATGCAAAAAATTTTTTTTCAAAATTCTTTTTTTAAAAACAAAAAACACGAAACAATACTAACATTACAAACAAAATATAAAACACAAATACGAAATATGTCAGACAATTTCGATGAGGAATTTTTTGAAGTTAATAATATTACTTTCAAAGAATTATTTAGGCTATATAATTTATCAGTACATACAATATACAACCAAGCAGAAGTACTCAAGGAACATGCATCATTATTCAACAGATTATCAAAGAATATTAAAAAGTATTCAACAGTATATTACGAATTATATCAGCTGTTGCATCAATTATTTCTGCAATAGTATTCACAATAGCATCCACAATAACAGAAATAACAGCAATAATAGCAGCAGCAGCAACAACAGCGATAACAATAGCAGCAGCAACAATAACAGCAATATCAGCAACATCAACAGAAGCAACAACAACAACAAAACCAACACCAACACCAACAACAACAACAACAACACCACACCATAACTACAACTACTACCACTACCATCACTATTACAATATTTTACATCAAATAATGTATTATTATCAACTAATGATAATTGGTTGATTCCAACTGGATCATATACATTGCCCTGTTTTTTATGTTCATATTTTGGACATGAAGCAAATAATTGTCCAAATTTAATTGATGATTATTTAATAAACTGTTTTAAATGTTAGAATCCTGAACATTCAGTAGGAGAATGCACGTTGTATAAAGCCAAAACACCATTTAAAGAGGGATACATACTACCAAGGAAATTACTTCAAAAATTTATAAAAAAAGAATAACCTTTTTTTATTTTTTTATTTTTATTTTTTTTTATTTTAATTTGAAGGAAAATTTTTATAATAATAATAATGCTAGCTCTATAAATAATATGTATAAGGAAAGTATATGGAAATAATATGTTTAAAAAATGTATAATAAATGTAGAAAAACATTATAATAAATTCGTAAATATTTCTGTATACTAGATACTAAAAATTGTCTTTTTCCGTATGCAAAAAAATACTGAATTTATACATCTAATCAGTATAATATATACATAATTTTTGTTAAATTTTATACGTCAAATTAGTATATTATATACGTTATTTTTGGTTGCATTTTTTACGTCTAATCAGTATATTGTATATGTTATTTTTGGTTGCATTTTTTACATCTAATCAGTATATTGTATATGTAATTTTTGTTAAATTTTATACGTCTAATCAGTATATTGTATATGTTATTTTTGGTTGCATTTTTTACGTCTAATCAGTATAT